ATTATTTTATAGTATTATATTATTTTACTATTTCTATTATTAGTTATTTAACATATATAGCATAGGAAGTAGCTATGTCATTTCAACTTTTATTCCTATTTGGCTATATAAAAATTGCCTCCATCAAAATATTCTTCTCAATATGTAAATTTTGGATCATCAGGAAGTCATATACCTCTCAAACAAATAGCTGCAATTGCATGATCTAAAAAATTGGTATCGGTATAGGCAAACTTGCTATATCTCCAGGCTGCATATGCCTCACACAGGCCTAAAGAATGGTTTGGTTTAATTTTCTTGTTATTGTAAAACATAGAGATATCTTTATTGGCTGCTCCATATTTGTTGCCATCTAGTCGTAGAAAATTATATTCTGTTATTTTTTGCTATATACTTTCAGTTACATTAGCAGGAAAAATCCCTATTGTATAGTTAAACAACAAGCTATTCATTGTTACTACTTTTTCTTTGTATAAATATTGTTGTTTGGATCCTCATAGTTCCTTTGGTATATTGAAAACATATGTAAAAATACTACATTCTCTAGTCAACAAATACCTAAAAATAACCATTAATATTATTTAAATATAGTACCCACATAAAGTAATACTCAAAAATTATTTTATAGTAAAATACATATAAAAATTCAATAGGTAAATTTTAATACTAAAAAATATATATTTATTAATAAAACCTGGACAAAAATAAAATTGTTTATTAAAAATACAATACTTAAGCTTTTGAATTATATAAAATAAAGAAAATGTTTATTAGTACAATATTTAATTTGGAATTTTTTAAGGTTATGTTATTTTACTATGTTTTTACTATATAAATTTTGATCATAAAATTTCATTATATAAAATTTTGTGTTTTTCATATATGGGTAATTATTTTCGAAGGCGGACCGGAAATTTTCTGGCGTGATCCTAAAATTTAACTATATGTGTATTGTTTAAAAGTTGGGTCCGAAAAAATCGTATCTAGCATTTTTGTCGCCTTCAAAAATAATTACCCATATAATAAATTTTTATTTAATATTTTCAAAAATTCAATTAGTAATTATTATTATTATTATTATTATTATTAAAATTTTTTAGAAGTTCTTAAAAAAATTAAAAAAATTCTTGAAGACAAATTTACAAATTTTATATCATTTACATATATAAAATTTGAATGGTAAACTTCAAAATTAAAAAATCATTATTCCTGGTAATAAAAATTACATAATTAAAAAATATAAATGTTAAATTTATTAATCATAATCAATAAAAAAATTAATAACTTTTATATAATATAAAAATTTTTATTTTTATATGTTTTACTATGAAAAAATTAGCGGGCGTTACTTTATGCGGGTACTGTACAGTAAGTTTTTAATTGTTAATTAATGTTAAAAAAATTATTTTTATAATCAATTTTTTTTTTATTAGAAAACTAAATTTCTTTGGCTTATTCGATTTGATTTTAAACAATAAAACACAACATTAGTAAATTAAATCAAGAAATTAAACATCCAGTATTTTTATTAAAAATAGATGAAAGAAAAAAATTTAAAAAATTGATCAATTAATTTTGTGATCAAATGATAATGGCAAGAAACAAAAGATCAAATGATTTTGCTAAAATTGATTTTTACGATGTGAAAAATATTTCCATTGGTTTTTTTATTAATTGAATAAAATAAAAAATATTTTTGGAATTTATAATTATAGATATGGTATATTGTACCTTAATAATTTTTTAAATTAAAAGTTATTATATGAAATTAATTAATATACAGTATACACATGTATTTAAAAAAAAATTCGCAGGTATTGAGATATACGTATAAATATAATAAAGAATTTGAAAATTCCAAAAACTTATTTAATACTTTAATTTAATCGTTACGTTCAAAAGGAACTTAAATGTGCATTTTCAATTCGGCTTTCTAAACAATTATTTCAAATATCGTATAAAATAACTGTTGATCAAAATAGAGTTTTTCTTATTCTTCAACATCAAAAGAGAAAATTAAAACTTTGGAAGATGATCAATTTAACTTAATTACTTAATTACTTAATTACTTAATTCAATGTTTCATAATGATCGTGCATAATTAGTTGCAACTTTCAAATGTTATAAACGACAGAAAGAAAGGTTTTTATATGATCAATCTCGAAAATGTGCGAATTTTAAATGTATGCGTGAAACGAGTGGCGTAACGAATGGCGTAACTTATTGGCAGCCACAATTACTACATGTGGCACAGCTTTCGCAATGCCCACATACCGTGACTGTTGTTCCTGATTCTATATTTCCAGCCCTACCGCTACAGTCGTAACCTTCAGTCGCAGTTTCTCCCAAGACTAATCTGGCCACCCTTTGATATTCGGGGCCACAAGAACAATATTTTTCTTCGTAATTGGGCAAATCAAAAAATCGTCCAACTTCCGTACAGGAAACTATTGTAATAGGACATCTCACAAATAACCTTGTTCTCGAATCTTGACCGGAATTGTGAGGTAAAGTCACGATGAAACAAAATTTCAATACGTGACTTATATTGATCAATGGAGTATTCATGGAACAATTGATTTCGTTCGGCACTGAAAAACTTAAATTTTCATGATAACTTATGTTTACCATATCATCATCATCTTGGTCTTGTGAGTGATTTAAATTGTCAACATTGAGTGTCGATACTACTTTGGTAACTCCGGCTTGTAATCCATTTGCAGTGTAAATGGATTCTTCCAATAATTCGACCAACATACCATGAACTTTTAGGTTTTTGACGAGAGGAATTATCTTGACTTCAATTGGAATTGTTTGTCCGAGAGGATAAGCACTCTGAGGAATTGAGACTTCGTAATTAAAAGTTGAATCATAATCTTTCGATAGAGCTATTCCCTCGGAAACTTCGTAATCGGGTGAAATCCTAATGACTTTTATGTCACATTTTTTTACGAGTTTTGATCTCAGCATGGATCGTGATACTTCTGCTATCAATTTATATTTTACGCTCCCATGTTCGGCTTTCACGGTTTCTGGAAGATCGCCGGGAATGAATATTTCGAATGGATATACGTGTGAGCCAGCAGAAAATGTGTTTGTGGCCGACCGGTCTTTGAATTTTGTTAGGTTCTTGAATTCAAATTTACCATGCTGAGAAGAATCTTCAACCGCTGGAGAAGATAAAAAATGTATTTGATGGTTTATAGTTTCGCGTTTTTCGGTATATGCTTGTTGTTCACTTCCAAGACCTACAAAACATAAATGAAAACCATATACATAACAATATTTATTTATATTTATTTATAAAAAAGAAATCTTTAAATACCTGCCACCCAAAATGTTTTTGCCTTTCCGATAAATTTCATCTCGATTTTTCTTATATTAGTGGCTTTACTTAAATTTAATATCAATTGACCTCTT